CAAGAGTCCGATAAAAAACAGGTTCGTTACGTTGAGAAATATCATAATGGAATTAAGTACAGTTCAGGTCTGATTGATTACGAGGAATTGAATGATATTCTACTGGGCCATCTGAAAGATGTCGATTTTGTGTATGTGAGAGGATACCAAATATTTGAATTTTTGACTGGACTATTGTCTCCATGTGCCAGACCAAAAATCATAAATGTGGAAACTTACGATAACATAATGACGACCACTACATTCAAACCGGACATCCCTTTGTGCATGAACCACAATGTGAGTGACAAACAATTTTATTGTTCACTACGTAATTGCAAAAATTTGTATACCTGGATAACAAGTCTCCTACCACAGTGAAATTTTACAATAAGTAACGTACCAAAGTGAAAATTTTCAGTTCGCCAAGTTCCGTTAGAAAGAAATGTTCTCAGATCTCATTGATAAACATATTGAGAATTTGGAAAAGTTAAAAACAAGTATCAACATCGAAATGACCAAGCAGATTCGAAATTTGACTGTATCACTATGTGCGCAACAGCAAAGTGGATTGGTGATGAAGCAAAACAAAAATTTGGTATTGTATTTGGACAACAAGAAACCACCATCAGGGGACGAAAATCTATCTCCAGGTGACCTTCATAAATGGCAGAAAGTCTTCAACAACGAGAAACGATTTCAAAATCTCAATTGCAATACTACCAAAAGGATAGTTTTATGTGAGAGTAATGAAAATAATGTAAATTATGTTTAATAGATTTTCCAGAAATAATTAGTGCATTATTCATAATTTAAATAATTCAACAACAGAATAACTATCTCAGTTTAGTTGAAAATGATACAGTTTATCATCAACAATGGCAACATTAAGTTCGACTTATATAATCTTGTACACGCTTGTCTATGATATATTGTATGTTAATCAACCCTACAATGCCAGAGAACTTTTCATTTGTTTCGATAACAATGGTACGAAAAATGACAGCTGGCCTTCAACTTGGACTAAAATGCGAATTAAATATTGTGAAGTTTCGGAGCATCGGCTGGGGATAGTCCTGCACGATTCGCTGTTGCGTTCCAATTAACAGTGCTGCTCCTAAAGTGGCGCATGGAGTTAGTAACAAAGCCTACATACAACACGCAGAAAGATATGATGATGTGGTTGTGAGCATCAGAGAAGAAGTAGGACGGTGTATGTAGGTGGGTGTGGAAAACTACCAGCTGAGCGTGAGAGCGGGCCAGCTGCTTAGTAGACCTCAGTACCGGGGGTTAACGAGGATAGTTAGTAGGCCTGCCTGAAAAGGATGTTAGCCAGCTCTCTTGAGCGAACCACATCAGTCATTGAAAACACTTGGGGTTTGCAAAAAGGTTCCATTGGGGACTAGTTGCTGACGTGGAAACGTCCCCCACCAGTACCAGTGGACTAAAATGCTACCAGTATCAGTCAACAATGGTCATCTACCCGTATTAATGACCGATGTACCACAAAATGCTAGTTTTCATAAGTACAGAATTATATTCCAAGATAATACTGTGGGAGATACGAAAAACTGGCAAAATTTGATCTATCGTGAAACATGTGAGTCAAGAGAGTATTATTCAGATACCTATTCAATTGCCCAATCGAGTTATGAGACCCCGGTACGGGACATTACTAATCACTGAGGGTGACTAGGAACAGCCTTAACCGCCTTCCACCTCCCCCGCTGCAGCGCAGCGGTCCTCATAATCAAAAAGTCCACATGGGGCTTGTGACTTTAAGAGTCGGTCGTTTTAGGGGGTTGAAAAATTTGAAAAGCAAGACAATCCGCAGGGACTGACGTCTAGAATCTGACTTCTAGTGGGGTTAACGTGACTTTTGGGCTTATTGGTTTTTTGAAAAGTAGGAATCATAAAGATTTTGCATTACGTGAAATAATTACTATTCCTGTATTTGATCGAAATGGGTGAGAATTCGTGATTGTTTCGGGCCAGAATCAACCGCTATTCTCTTTTGGGGGGTTTGTGTTGTGTTGTGTGTGTGTGTGTATGTGTAATTTGCTTACCTGTCTTGGTTTGTCGCCTCCCTGACCCGAGGATTTTCGTGATTCTCCATTCCTGCGAATGTTTTCACGGCATGGATTTTCATCTTGTCCAGTATCTTGGTGTGGTTAAGATCTCTGAAGATGGCATCATTCCGGACGAACCAGGGGGCGTTGACTATCATCCTCAGGGTGGTGTTCTCGAATCTTTGGACTCTCATCAGGTGTGACTGAGCACAGTGTCCCCAGGCTACTGACGCGTAGGTCAATATGGGCAGGAGAACTGTTTTCATAAGCAGGAGTTTCAGGTCCAATCTCATTTGGCTGTGGCGTCCTATGAGGGGAGACAGATGCGCTCTGGCTCCAGCGGCTAATCGTAAGCGATTTTCCACATGGTTTCTGAACGTCATCCGCTTGTCTATCTCTACTCCCAGATACTTGTCTGAGTTTGTCCATTGCACATTTTGGCCACCTATGGTGACATGTCCTATGGGGTTTTGGCGTATGTGTCTGATCAGGATGGCTTGGCTCTTCTCCGGGTTTATCTGTATCTTCCATTTGGTACACCATTCTTCCAGTTCATCAATGCTCCCTTGCAGGCGTCTAGTGATGTATTCTGGGATACGGGATCTCGTTGCTATCGCAGTATCGTCCGCATACAATGACAGGGTGCAATGTCTATTGTTGTTTGGGATGTCTGAGGTGTAAATGGAGTATAGATGTGGACTTAGAACTGCTCCTTGGGGCACTCCTGCTTGCATGATTCGTCTGTCTGAAACTTCTGGACCGGCTTTGGTTCTGAAGGATCTTCCACGTAGATAAGAGTCTATCAGCTTCACGAGTGGGATTGGATAATCCAGGATCATCATCTTGGCTACTAGTCCATCATGCCAGACGCGGTCAAAAGCTTTGGCTATGTCGAGGAATACGACTCCAGTGGCTAGTCTTCTATTTAGGCCTACGGCTGCGTAGTCGACAAGTCTGGTTACTTGGAGCTCCGTTGAATGTTGGCTTCGAAAGCCAAACTGTTCGTTCGGTAAAACGCCAAGATCGGTGGTGGATTCCTCTAGTCTGCTTTGTATGACTCGTTCTATCACTTTGCTGGGTGCTGGTAGTAAGCTGATTGGCCTGTAGTTCCGTGGCAGGGTAGCATCTTTGTTAGGTTTCTTGAGCATGATTACTGAAGATTCTTTCCAGGAGGCTGGGTAGTGTTTCAGTCTCAGAACGGCGTTCGCTATATTAGTAAGGGCTGCTATTCCTTTTCGGGGGAGTTGCTTTAGGGCTTTGTTGGGGATATTGTCTATCCCTGGTGCCTTCTTGGTCTTCAGGTTCCTGATGATCCTTTTGATTTCCTCCGGCGTGGCTGGTCGCAGGATATCAACGGGAGCATCATGTTCTCTGAGTCGCCTAATTGCTCGTCTACATCGGGCTTCGTGCTGCAGATCGTCATTTGGGGTAACGTTTTCCACAAACTGGCGCTCTAAGGTGTCGGCAAATGCCGATGCCTTGTCCTCGTTTGTGTAGGCGATACCGTGCTGTCCTTGGAGGGGTGGTATGGGGGTGGGACGGTTCCTGAGTAACTTCTGCATGCTCCAGAAGTTCCCTTCTTCCGGACTTAACGACATTAGCTTTTCTGCCCAACGTTCGTTTTTATAATTTTGCAATTCTCTCCTTACTTCTCGGGCTAGGTGCCTTGCTAATTGGTTGTGTTCGGGTTGCCTGGTTCTGATGGACAGTTTCCTGGCTCTCCGTTTTTCCCTCAGCAACTCGCGTAGTTCTGGTGGTAGATCATGCTGTAGATTCCATCTGGTGGTGTGTATGATTGTTGTGCTGGCCTCCATAGCATTTTTGATGTCCTGCTCGAAGGTCCTTGTTGCCTCTTCCAGGTCATTTTCTGTGACTATTATGGGCATTGGGCCCATTTGGTCATGGAATATTCTCTGGAACATGGTCCAGTTGATTTTGTTCCTCTCGATGGGTTGGTCTGGCTCATTTCCTTCTCCTACTTGCAGCAGGATTGGGTCGTGGTCAGATGTTCCGTCATGGTGGGTGGCAATTTCAACTGGCATTTCAAGTCCTCGCAGGAGGGCTATATCAATTGTGCTCGGAGTGTTGTTATGGTCATATCTGGTGTGTTCTGTTGGGGCTAGCACAGTGGTGTCCTCGCTTTCTTCAAGGTATTCTACAAGTAGTCTTCCTTTCATGTTTGAGGTAGCGCAATTCCAATTCTGGTGTCTGGCATTCCAGTCACCGACTGCTATTGTTGGATTTCGACCAGATATAACCGTGTGTATATCTTGTGTGTAGTGTTGGATATCTATTTGGGTATCTGATTGGTAGGCTGATACTATCTGGATGTCGCCGTGGTTTCGTGTTTTCACAGTCGCCATGGTTGCTTCCAGGGATACCAGTGCTGGGGTGTTGATCGGATAATGATCAAGGTCCTTTTTGATCAGCAGTAAGGTGCCTCCGCCTCTTCTGCCGATCCGGTCATTCCTGTAAACAAAATAATTAGTTATATTGAATGTCTTACCTGGAGTGAGTCGCGTTTCCTGGAGCGCCATTATGTCCACCGAATTCCTGGATAGGAATTCTTCCAGTTCCACTTTTCTTGCCTTGGCTCCGTTTATGTTCCAAGAGCCAATGGAAAAGCAGTCCTTTTTATGCGCCATTTCTGACCGGTGATGGCTTGCTGAGAAGTGCGACTGTTTGTTGCACTGCGGTTTCTATGGCCTTCTGGATGAGATCCATGAAGTCCGGGGGTAGGGTTGGGGTTGGGGTTTGTTGAGGGGCTCTGTGAGCCTTTTGGGGTTGGGGTTTGGGAGCAGTCGCTGCTGCGTAGGATTTTCCTGGCTGTGTATTTCCACTTCCAGGGAGGGTTTTTGATTGGGTTTTGGGGGGGTTGCTTTTGTTGCTGGTTTCGGGCATTTCGGGCATCCTCGGTAGTTGGCAGGATGTTTGCCACTGCAGTTGGCGCACTTAGCATCAGTATCGCGGGATTTCGTGCAATCGGCTGTGGGATGCTGATCTCCGCACTTGACGCATCTGTACAGACATCTGCAGTTCCTTTTTGATTTTTGATCTGTCTTTGGGCCTCAATTCTTACTATGTAACTACAGCAATCCTTGATTTCCCAGATTTTGGTTTCTGATTTTGGGACTTGAATTATTACAAGCGGTAAATCCAGCTTGGTCCTATAGGATTTCATCCTATGGACTGTTTTGATTTCAAGCCCTTTGTTTTTCAGATCTTCCTCTATTTCTGATATCTCTACACTCATATCGATTCCCCTCATCACTACACTCAGTAGTTTGTCTTCGGGGAGCGAATAGGTGTGATATTCATGTTTATCCTGTTCTAGGATTTTTGTGGTTGTTCGGTACTCGTTTGCATTGTTTGTTTGTATTCTCAAGCCTCCTCTCATGAGTTTTACTAATGGAACTTTAATTCCATTGGATTCTAGTTTTCTCTTAACCGTGGACCATTCTCCCGGTGTTTTTAGCACAATCGGGGGAATAGCGGTTTTTTTGGTTGGCTCGTCGTTGCCTTTTTGGGGGGTGGGGGCTGCTGCTGAGGTCGAAGCTTTTGGGGGAGGGCTTGATGAGGCTTTCCTCTTTAGTCCCTTCTGTTTTTCTTCCTCTATTTCCATTTTTTCCGGTATGGAAATTACGGTTTTCGGAGGGGTTTGAGGAGGAGGGGTGGTTTCCTTGATTGTTATGATTGTTGGTACTGCCTTGGCAGTCTGTTCTTGGATCATACTTGCTAGAGCTTTGAAGGTTTCCGCCGCTCCTTCTTCTCCGGCTTTCGTGCACTCTTGTGCTTTGATTTTAGCTTGTTTAGCTAACATGTGCATGTCTGCTGAGTTTTCAAGGTCTTTCCTCAGCTGTTCAATTGGTTTCGTTAGGTTTTCGATCAATTTTTGCTGTTGCTCATTTTGGCTTCTCAGCGATTGAATTATGGAATTGAAATTTGTTTCTCGGGCTGCCTTGGTTTTTCCCGAGTTTCTGCCCACTTTTACAGCGGTTTTCTTCTTCGCCTTGCTGCTAGGGTTGATTTTGTCGACAAACATGTCGCTGCCTGGCACAATGGGCGACATATTTATCTATTAGTGTGTTCGATTCTATAATTGTTCTTCCTCCCTAGGGTTTGCCTTGCATGGCTGTCCCCTTGGGAGAATATTTTTCTTGTTTTGACTTCTATTGAGGGATAGGGGTTATTTCCTTACCAATTTTCTCTGCTAGGCTCGGATCAGGCCGAGTCTTGATGTGGAAGCCCTTGTGTAGGGGCACTACGGTTGAAGACAGTCTCTAATAACTCAAAGTGAGTTATCGAGTGCTGACTTTGCCGTACCTTGCTTTCCACACCTAGACACGTAGACAAGATCTAACTGCTGGGTTTTGAGGCCTTATAGCCGCCTGAAAGGCTGGCAGGCTATAAGATTTCAAAGTCGCTGCTTTTCTCTGAAATAAATACAATGTTAGCAAATATACAAAGAAAAATAATGTATTGAAATTATTCGGTATTTAATTGGGCTGGCTCAGTTATTGACCGGTCGGCCCAATCGTTAATACTCTATAATGACAATAACGCTGCTTTCTCTGAAATAAATACAATATTAGTAAATATTCAAAGAAAGGAAAAATAAGTGTATAGAAATTATCGGTATTTAATTGGGCTGGCACAGTTATTGACCGGTCGGCCCAATCGTTAATACGCTATAATGACTATACAATAATCGCTGGTAATAATCGCTGGGGTAATCGCTCGATAATGAGGTACTGATTTTGGCTAACACACTTATTGAGCGGTTGGCTAAATCGCAGGTATCTCAGGGTGTGTTGACTGTTTTGAGGCAGATCGAACACGTCCTATTCAATTGTTTTGTATCTAATATTCAGTAGTCTAATTATATTATTTTTGTGTTATATTCTGCATGTCATTTCAAAATTTAAGAACATGTATATGAAGGCAACGATTACCTTGGGTGAAAATTAAATTGCATTCCATACAAAAATTATTGTTTTCTTCCCATACCATCATACCAAAATAATATCCCAATTCATTATTGGATCACCCTGTATTCTGTGTTGTATATTCCCATTATTCCAGCATCGCAAAGTCATTTTGAAAATGCCCATTACCTCAGATGAAAATTAAAACGTTTTCTGGTGTACACAAATCATTCTTCCATTCATTATCATTAACATTGAAATAATTCTCGATATAAAAATAATATTTCTATTCATAATGTAATCAACGTATTTTCAAGTTCAACGCTAATTGTATACTCATTAATTTATAATTGGCTTCAATGCTTTGTGTATTTTCCATACCATATCAATTGCCTACCCGTATAATTTATCAAGCGGTATTTATTTACATATTTAACCAATTATCGTTATGTCCGAAGACTTTCGCGACGACAATAACGAACGGTTTAAGATCGCGATCGCGTTCATTATAGACCTAATTCAGGGTTGGGGGCAGTATAGTTTTCGTTGGCACCCCGGGATGCATACCAAATCCAATGTCACTGTATTTCAACAAGTGGACCATTCAGATTGGTTTCTCGACTCCCGGTACTGAAAACTGGTTAGACGTAATGTATCATGTACCAGTTTGCGTCAGTGAAAACGCGCGACCTGCGAAATATAATTGGACAAATCTTTTGTCAGTGCATAGAAAATGTTCCGAAATATACAGGATGTGTCTGAATGAATGTGCAACGAGATTGCAGTGCATAGAAATTGTTCAGAAATAAACAGGATCTGTCAGGCCCCTTGCACACGAGCGTTATATTCGCCGGGCGGTTATTCTGCCGGCCGGCAGAAAAAATCGGGTATGGTTTGCACACGGGAGACGGTAGTAAGTGCCTCTGTCATTTACGCAGTGCCGGATTGATTTTGAACAGTGGTGCACATGGATCTCCGCAAGAGAATTGTGGTTGCGTACGCTTTGCACAGACATCGAAAATATAAAAAGGCACGAGCTAGGAAGTTGTGGATTCATCCATTAATGGAAGAACGAACAGCAGTGGGAGCATTTTACACATTATTCGTTCCGCTAAGAGCAGACGAGAGGAAATTTTTCAATTATTTTAGAATGTCGATTTCATCCTTTGACTATTTACTAAACAAAGTAAAAGGCCATATAAGTCATCAGGATACAAATATGAGACAGAGCATTCCACCAGAAGAAATGTTAGCAGTGACAATCAGGTAAGTGTGAATAAAAAGGTAATGCAATAACTTTAATGTAGGTTTATCTATTGAACGAAATAACATTTTAAGTTTACATCAGAAAACATATTATAATTAACAAAAATATAGCAACTCTGAAATGCTCTAAAATAATTCAACAAACGTAAATGAAACTCTGAAAATGCCAATAATATAAACGGAAACATTTGTAAGCTTTCAACAATCTACCTAATAAGTAGGTGAATGTAAACCCACTAGATCTCCTTGTAAGAAATATCAAAAGGCGATTCGCACTGAGAGTTGGAATCTTGAGGATGTGGTTGTGTTTGTGATTGCAGGTGATAGTTGTATTGGGGTTGTATTTGTGCTGCAGGTAGATGCTGCATCTGATGTTGAGGAGGGACAGGGAATTGTTGCACTTGGGAGACGTATTGTCGGCTGGTCCAAGTAGTATGTCTCGATACGGGATCGTTTTTGTGTTTAATTTGTTTAATGAGTTGTAGAACCCCTAATCGAAATTCTAATTTTTGCTCATCGTCAAATCGGGCCATCGTTGGTAATAACGAATTTAGAAAGGATTGATCTTCATTCAGGTGTGGCTGTGAAACCGGAGTTTCTAAGTAATTCAGCAATCTGGATTCAAAATCGTCGATTCCTCTTCTTTTTGCGCCTTTTGATGGAACTTTTGATCCCGAAACACGTGATGTAGATGTTGAAGCCTGAGTGGTTGATGAAGATGATGACTGAATGGAAGCTGGTGTATCGGGTGCGCTGTCAATAGTATCTGAATCGTCAAGTTGCGTCAATTCCTCATCAGCTACGTAACTCGAAGTTGTTTCGGCCTGTGTGATCGTTTTTGTAAGAAACAATAATTGGTCGTAAAAAATGTATTTTCGGATTTTTTTACATGCCGACCCAGACTTTACCTCCTTCATTTTTTTATGGCTTCTGATGAAATTGTCTCTTATATTAACCCGTTTCTTGGATACTAGTTTACCTACAAAGAACGTGTAATTGTTATATTTCGTATTTTTATAGGTATTTGGCTACAGGAGCAACATTTACTGATCTACACTACTCATACAGACTGGGAATATCGACAATACGAAAATTTGTTAAAGAAGTTTGTAAACAAATTTGGGAACAAATGTTGGTAGAATGTATGCCCACACCATCCGAAATATTATGGAAAGAAAGGGAATCAGGATTTTCGCGTCGTGCAAATTTCCCTAATTGCGTAGGAGCCGTAGACGGGAAGCACATACGCGTAATTAAACCGAATCACAGTGGTTCAATTTTTTTCAATTATAAACACTATTTTTCAATTGTCCTCATGGCAGTTGCTGATACTAATTACTGTTTTACTTATGTCAACATTGGAGCCTACGGAAAAGATTGCGATTCTTCTGTTTTCAAAGAAACTGATTTTTGGAAATCCCTGTGTGATGGTTCTCTAGGATTACCGAATCCAAAAGCGCTGCCCCAGACGGAACATCCTCTTTTACCTCTCGTTTTCGTGGGGGACGAAGCTTTTGGTTTAACTGAATGTTTACTTCGGCCTTTTGGAGGAAACAAATTAACACGGGAACAGAAGATATTTAACTATCGCTTGTCTAGAGCCAGAAGATATGTGGAATGTACATTTGGCATCTTAAGTAACAAGTGGCGAATTTTCCATCGAGCAATGAATGTATCACCTGAGTTTTCAATTGATATAGTCAAAGCGTGTTGCATATTACACAATTTCGTGAGGGTCAGAGATGGTTATCAAACTGAAGACGCTCTTCATACACAAAATCTTGAAGATGTTCCCAACCAAATCAACATACGTGGGACAAGAACAGGACAAACGGTTCGAGAACAATTTGCACAATATTTTATGAGCGCAGAAGGATCGGTTCCTTGGCAGTTAAGCAAGATATAGTATCGGTTTATAATAATAAAATAAAAAACAAATACATGCTTACATTTTTCTGCCTTCGTTTTTTCATCCTCCCCCTCAAAGTTCTCAAACAAATAACAGCATATTTTCTCCCAAGCATTCCTTGTCTTCTGTCTATCTTTAAACTCTTCGGTGGTCTTGTCCCACGAAACCGGCCTTTGCTCCACCGCGGTAATAAGCAGTTCAATATCGACCTCTTCTTTGAGCTCCATCTCTTGCACTATCTGCAAAAATACTGACCTGTGCACCAGCGAACGCTACAAATTTTGCGATCGTGTGCACTCGTAAACGTAAACTCGCATGCTTTCAGACGAACCGGGCTGCAGTTCTACCGGCCGGTTGCCGTGTGTCGCCAGATTCGATTTTAATTTGACCGGCAGCCGGGCGGTTAATTTGCCGGTGCCGCTCTGTGTGCAAACCCCTATATAATATCTTGTATTTAAATATTCCACGGTTTTTCTGCCGGCCGGCGGAATTGCCGTCCGGCGGATACACCGTTCGTGTGCAAGGGGCCTCAGGATGATCAAACTCTAGGTGAGTATTCTACAAGAAAAATTATTCAAAAACATGATTGTTAGAATTTAATTTTTGGTATATTTGTTAAACCTATCAGAGTTTATCCAATGATCCCAGTGGCATCTTTTGTGTATCATTGTCTTTGTTGGAAACAAATGAAAACTGGAACATTCATAGTTTCTAAAATAATTTCCATGAGTCGAATACACTCCTATGGAATTTGGTATATTCTTCCTGGATCACCCTGTTTGTCAAAATTTGAAATAAGCACAAAGACTATATTTTGTAAAGAACTCACCGATAATTTCAAGCTATTTCATGTCACAGTTCCTTTTAAATGATGTTAAAAATTACCAGTGGGGTAGTAACAAACCCATTCGAGTGTATTGTTGTGGGTATATAATATTGTATGAAAGAAATCATCATATAACTAACTAT